TTGTGCTAAGCCGACTCGGGGCGTTTCATTAGGCTATCTCTAGTACAATTCCCGCTTTAGTATTTTTTGGCGTTTATTTTATAGCCATCGAGACTCTACCGTCAACAATAAGAGACAGTACTTTAACTATATAGGAAGCCTAGCGGATTCATACCTTATAAAATTAAGAAGTCGGCTAATACTATTTAGGTAGAGGTCGACGACTCCTTATCTATATATCGATGGCTTATATTCTACGAATACTCGTCCGGCTCTATTACGATAACGAAATCTAATACACTTCGATGTTTATAGTATTTCCTCTATAGTATATATAGATTAAAGAAGACTTTGAGATAATTAATATAGTATAAGAGGATGTAGGTAGTATACCTTTTTTGGACTAGTATATTCTAAAAACAACTTTTCCTATTTTTAATATATATAGAATTTCCCTCTCTTAGTATATTATATAGTATAAATCTAATCGCCTTGAGACGCTATTACGTCTTCCTAAAGCTAGAAAGTAATAATGTCCTTACTAATCGGATTATATTTGTTAGTGAATCTTTTTAGCTAAGTTAGTTACTATACTTAGATCGAAGAATTGTCTTTGGTAGATTAGAATGATTAATCTATAGGTAACCTTAATTTCATTCGGGGCTATGGTTAGTATATATATCTAGAATCGGGATGTAGGCTAATTAAACGTAATTAGTACCGAGAACTATATCTAGGTTTGTTAATAGGGACAATACTTATCTTCTTCCCTAAGCGCTAGTATTGACTTTTTAAGACTTAGATCTTATGTACAAGTTAATTTAGACGTAGGGCAATTAGAGCGGTGGAGGCGTGCTAATGGCACTATAAGGGAGTAGTGTGCTCCTGCGATACCTAGAAAATGGCTACATTACTTAGCTAGACGTCCTCCCAAATAAGCTAACATTAGGTTAAGTCTTAGTGTATATTACCATCTAAGCCCGGGATAATGACAAATTCACGGCTATCCATGGTTAGTGGATACCTAATAAGAGCGGGGGGGATCAACGGGGGTTTCTCTTGGTTGCTATACCTTTCGATGATGGCCGGTGTTTCTAATTCGACTCTATCGGTTATAGCGAAATCGCTACTAACTGAAGCAATATCTTTGGATCTAGACTATTAGCTATAGAGGCCCCTAATAGATAGTGTGATATAACGATTATATTAAATAATGAAGCTAGTTATTCATTTCCTAGCGGAACCTTAGTTACACTTTATTGGGTATAGGATTAGCTAATATATATACTAGGGAATCCTGGAATATTTCCCGCTATTTTGAATGAAACTTATACTTTTTGTATAGAGGTTAAGGTTATTTGATATTACTACGGAATTACCGTTTATGCGTAAATGGGTGGCTCGTCTATAGGAAGGGTTTTACTGTTAAGTACTGCGATAGATTAATTTGGACCTTCGTATCTTGTTTAGTCTTTACTACGTACGATTTATATATTATAGAGATAAACCGAGACGCTATTGGGTTACTTTCTTATAGTAGTATATCTACGTTAACCTTCTACCTTCTTCTTTTATGAAAAGTAGGTATTTTATGTGTTAGAAGTTAAGCTCTATCGTGGTTAGGGTTAATAAGCCTAGAGTAAGGCTACTCCTCGAGACTCGACGGTCCACCTAAGGGTTTTATTGAAATAATTATTTAATAAAATTATTAAATAATAGTTCGAAGTAAATGAGTAGATACGGTAGGCTAGGAAATGTATTAGAATTTAAATATAATTTTTATATTTAGTCCGTTTGGATTGTATAATATCATTAAATCTACTAAGGTTCTTTACTCAGTGTTATATAATTCTATCTCTTGGCTTAAGCTTTAGCTTATATAGGAGAATAATCGATTAAAGTTATGTATTGTATTTTATGGAATAATACAAGTGTTCTATTTAGCTCTAAATATACTAACCTTCTTTTTTCTATAAATATTATACTAGCTACTATAGTTATTCGATTATTAATAAGGTAAGCTAGAGTCTAGTATAGTGCCCCAGATAAATTGTGAGGTTTCTACCGATCTAAATACCTCTAGATCGAAGTTATAAGTTGTTTCCACTAGGAAGCGATTATCTAAATAGAGTACGAAGAATAATAATAAGAAAAGAAAGAGAAGCCTCGGATAACGTATTTGTAAAAGAGCTTACATTACCTAGGCTAGTGTTAAGTATCGGTAGGGTGGTAAGTGAACTAAGATGTATAGGGGTACTTTTAGTTGTAAGGCTTATCGAGGACGAATTGAAGCTACCTACGGTTATAGTTATAGTCGTAGTCGTGGGTAATCCAATACTATTGATAGTCGTGGATATAGCACTTCGAATAGTCTGTGTGACGGATATCGTTAACTTTGTGCTTAGTAATGTAGGGAGAGGTCTATCGACGGAAGGGAACCTTAGGGTTAATAATGTGTCGATGTTTCCGTTATCCTAGATCGTGATATTAACGGTGAATATAGATAAATTTCTACTAATATAAATATCGACCTCCGAGTTTAAATCGAATGTTATATTAGTAGCAAGGCTTTTAGATATAAATATTGGTAGCCTTATATTAGGATAATTGTGGTTTTTGTCTAACTATATTGATAGACGGTATATCGTAGTAATTCTCGGCGAGATAAGGCTTATTAAAGGAGCTTTTATACGCGGCCGAGAAATTACTAGATTTAAAAAACTTTAAAAATAGATTGAGATATTACTATTCTTGCTGACGGTAGATAGTGCTGTTGTCTTTAAATGGCGGTGTATTCTTAGGTCGTATTATCCTACTTTACTATAATCTCGTTAACTCTTGGGTCTTTAGAATTGTCTAACTAAGTGTCTTACTTAAATTTGTTATCTTCTAGTTCCTTGTACAATTATCTTTCGGAAAGAAAGAAAATAAGCTTAGAAAGCCGTAAAGCTGCCCGTAAATAGCCTAAACTAATTGAGTAGGATGGCTCCAGTAAAGAATATGAAGAAGAACTAAGGGCCGGTGGCTCCTGGGTTGATGATGGTGATAAGAACTCGTCTAAGACGCTAACTATCGACTATCCTATACTTTGCTCGGCTGTTGGTATAGATATAACTACTGAAAATGAACTAACTTTAGATAGAGATGATGATATAGAAATAACCGATACCGAAGTAGACGCTAATGCTTCGAGCTCGGGAGCTATACCCTCTAGTAAAAAGACTAGGAGAAAGTATATAAAAAAATAACGATTGGAGGTAAATAGAGTACTAAGATATAGCGATGCCAACTACTATAATATCCTATAAGTGGACCTAGGTATAGATTACTTATATATTTAGAAGGTCTATTATTAGCTCTCTTTATAGATTTATTCGGATAAGAACGCTGATAAAGAGACGACTAGTACTTTTTAGAGTAAGTGAATTACTCTAATGTATACTTTATATCGATTAAACTATACTAATAGCGCTTAGAGGTCTAAGAGGTTTATAACGTTCTAAATAATAAGGCGAAGAGGAGTGTATATAATATAACTCGTAGGGCCAAATAAGGTTAGGAAGATAATAACCCGAACGAAATATTCGGTAAAGACTTTAAGCTAGGCGCTTAGGGCAGTAATTTTAACGATTATAATAAATCTAATAATGCTGATAACGATAATAACTAGATACCCAATAATTTTAGAAGAAAGATCTTCAAGCGAGCTACGCTGTATATAACCAAGGTATTAGCGAAGTATTGTAAGGAACGCCTAATAAGAATAGGCAGAGTACGATAATAAAGGGTTTCGTTAATCAGTATTAGATGATCCTGACCTTCGGTCTCTATAGGACTCTAAGTATAAGGAGAGTAAGCTCTCCTGATGCGAGTCGCATGCCTATATCTACCGAGTTGGATAGGTGGCCTAACGCTCGGCATTCCATCGAGTCTAAGTGCCGGGTCGCCTAGGACTCGCGTGCGGAAGGCCGTTAATTTGTCTGGAAGGTCTAGGTGTATTCCTAACATTATCCCCTTTCCCTCTAACTTCTCGTCCTCGAGAAGTTCGGGTAAGTTAACGAAGAACGTTAGAATCAAGATTGATGCCTTCCCAGTTCCCGTTCCTGAATCGTAAGCGGTCCGCTTGCGAGATGGTGACAAGGGTTTTTCTGCTACGCTTTTTGTGCGTACGAAATTTTTGTTCTAGGTAGGTGTATTTCGCATACAGAGCGCTTAGCCTTGTTGCTTTTACGCAAGGCTAGTATCATTCCTATATCGTATGCGGAAAGGGTGCGATATCTCGATGGCTTCATTCACCGCCCTGTTGCATTGCCGCACCGTTTCGCGTGCGCGTCGCTACCTACTTACACCCAGTGATGTTGTTGTGCTGTTGTTGTTTCTGCTCTCTTGTTTTTTCTTTCCTTAGAATTAACAACAATAAACTGTGAGCAGCTCTTCTCATCCGTTTCGCTTGCGGAATTCTGGCGCTAACATTGATAGCATCTTGCAACTCTCCTGCCTAGTCCGTCTACCAGCAATCAAAACTCGCTCTTCCCGGTTGTCCTTTAAGAGTATGTCGTGCTTTCCGCATTCGTAACGCATGCTAACATCTTTCTTAGTGGCCGACGTTCAAAATATACCCGAATAGGCTACTGCTGGAGCGCCTGGTGGTGATCCTCCCCGTCGTCCTCGCCGTGAGTACATACTTTTTATGCAGTTCGCGTGCGGTACGTAGCTGACACGCTCGCAGCCCGCTCTATTTCTCCTCAAACCCCACGTAAACGCAAGACAGTAGCCAAGCTCCCGTGCCGCCGTTGCTTCCGCCGGTTGACTACCGGTGGTCGTGCGGCTAGCACGCGTTTCGCATGCGTCAAGCTGACTCCCAAGGGCCGTGAATCTGTCAACTACACTTATTGTCAAAAAGGTAAACGTGGAGGCGACGACGGTTGTGTTCCGGTATGCCTCCTTTCCGCCTGCGATTCGCACGCTAACCTACGTAGGTACCTAATCGCCTTGTATCGGATACAACCCGTCTTTAGGACATGAACACTACGCTGGCCGACGACACTACCGAGGATAACGAGCCGGATGCGGTTCGCAAGCGGGCCGTCGAAGAGACCGCTGCGCACTTCGACCGTACCCTTGCCCTTACTGATATTAAGACCGCTCGTGCTGTTCCCGGTGCCTCTCCTCGTGGTGGTCGTGTTCGTCGCTCCGGCGGTTCGGCTACGGCTCGCAGTAGTGACGCTGGTCTAAGCTAGTTGTTGGGTCATCTTGTTAAAGCTGTGCGTAGTGGCGTCGAGTCATATAATCGTGTCGTGAGTATACTTTCCGCTTGCGTTGCGCGTGCTAATCGCATTTTTAGAATGGCCTTCCTACTCCTATCTAGGCGGAAGAAGCCTCTTCGGAGGAACAGGACTCCGATTGAGTCTAAGTGAATCCCGCTGGGTGGCTGGTTAGGTACGGGGTGGGTGCTTATCGCTTACGGTGTGCTTGCGACGTGTAAGCATAAAGCTTAGTGTTGTTTGGTGTTGTAGGACCGGTCGTGCCGTACTCGGGTTCGTCCTAGGGTGCGCTTCCGTTGGTCGCTTGCTGCCCGCCTACGGTTCGCTTTGGCGGCCGTGAACGGCCGAAGGGCACGTGCTTTTTGTTTACTCTACTGCGGCAGGATGGCTGCGGCTCGCTTACGAGTCGTAAGCGCAATGAAAACTTTTTTCTTTATGCCTTTGCTTGCTCTTTCTGCCGAAACTTCTTAATCGCTTCGCGTACGTTTCGTAGGTTAGAAGCTAGCTGCTAGGAGTCGTAAGCTTCACTGAAGCCTACCCATCAAACGTAGAACTCGGTACTCCCCCGGACCTTCCGCTCACCCAACACTTCTTCCACTTCCCACTCCTCTTCGCCTTCAATATCGATAGGCGTAGGCGGTTTAACTCCGTGTCGCTGAGTCCATCTTTAGAGTAGCGATACATAGAAAGTTTAGTGTAGTCGCCCGTACTTTTCTGGCAATTCTAGTTTGTACGCGTTACGACCAATTCTTTCTACCACCGTAAAAGGCCCAAGAAACTGGTCCGCAAGCTTCTTGCTTACTCTTCGCGTGCGGATATTCTTGGCCGCGAGTCGGACTCTGTCGCTAATGTTGAACTGCATTGCCGTTCTCTTGGCATCATAATACTTAGCTATTTTTTCTATTTCTTCCGCTGCGGTTGCCTGCGCTTCGCTAGCGACTCGCAAGGAATCGGCTAAATCCTCTGCTCTTTCTTCCGCCAGATGGTTCGTCTGTCGATTCGCATCCGCTTCGCGTGCGACATTAACATACATCTGCGGAGTGAAGCTGTATACTCTTAAGAATAGAGACTGCTTCGTCGTCGTATTCTGTTGAGAGTTCATCGCATACTCTGCGCTTGCGAGTAGCGGTGCCCAGTCTGATTGTTGGTAGTTAACATAACAGCGGAGATAACATTCCAGTGTTTGATTTATCCGTTTCGTCTATCCATCCGTCTAAGGATGAAATGCCGTAGAGAAAAGCCTACGAGTAGTAAAGTAAGAGCATAGAGTACCCCAATATAATGAGGTGAAGACTGTTCCTCTATCACTTACAATGCTTTTCGGGGCGCTAAATCTCGTAACTATCTTTTCCAAAATCAGCTAGCCTATTTCGGGTACGTCTATCGTGCTATTATACGACGATAAGACCACCATCTTCGAGTATCTATCCACGATTACTAGAATCGAATCGTATACCTTTCCGTAGTGGAGTGACGGCGGCAACCCTACGATAAAGTCCATCGAGATATCTTGCCAAGGCCCCTTAGGGATTGATAAGGGCTCGAGTCTTCCGTAGGGTCTATGCCTTGGCATCTTTATACGTTGACAGATATTATAAGAGTCGATATATTGATATATATCTCGTCTTATCTACGGCCACTAGTAGTACCGCATAATATTCTCAACCGTCCGGCGTTCGCCAAAGTGCCCGCCTTCCCAGGGATCATCATAATTTACCCGGAAGATTTCTTGCCTCGTTGTAGGATCTTGCGAGACGTATACAAACCTGTCGCGACGCACAACATTGTCGTCTCCGACACTCCAGGCCCCTTTGTACGGACCCCGTACAATTCGACCGCTTAGAGCCGTTGCCTACTGAGCTTCCTTGTACCACTTATCTAGTGCTTAGAGTTCTCTCAACCGATCCGCAAGCGAAGACCTGCGTTCCCGCAGTATCTCCGCCTCGGACTCGTTTAGTTGAGGCATCGCTGTCGACTTAGCCTCTAGCTGGGGTAATGTAACAATATTGTATACACTATCGACAGGGTTTCGACTCATTTAGACTTGTGCCCGAGTTATCACTCCCACTACCACTTCTTCGCTATCTCGCATGCGTTTCTCCTGAGGATCGTTATCCTTAGGTATACGTAGCTTAAGTAGCGTAGTCAGAATATTTTCTGACGGTAGCTCTTCCTTTGTCATATAATCAGGACGGCGAGATAACCTATCGGCTGGATTATCTTTTCCCCGCCTCTATTGAATATAAAAATCGTATACGGCTAGCACCTCTACCTATCGCATTTGTCTTCGATTTAGAACCTTCGTGGTTATAAAGCTCTATAAAGCCTTATAATTAGTCAGGACAATCGTACTTTCTATAGGCGCTTCGAGGTAGTGTCTCTACTCCTTAAACGCGTGTACGATTGCGAGTATCTCGCCGTCTCCTATATAGTAGTTTCTCTTAGCTAGCGTTAGCTTCCGCGAGAAGAATGCTATAGGTTTTTATAGGGTGCGACCCCCTTGCGTCTCGTAAGCTTGGGTCAATACCCCTCCGATAGCTTCTCCTAATACGTCCACTTTAACTCTTAACCCTTTTTTAGGATCGAAGTGCGCGAGAACGGTATCGGGCGAAAAATAGGCTTTTAGCGTACGAAACGCCTTATCTGCGCTGTTAGTCTATTCGAATGGTCCAGTCTTTTTCCTAGCCTTTATATCGATAAGAAGATCCGTAATAGGGGCCACTACGTACGAGTATCGGTAGATAAACCCGCGGTAGAAATTGGCAAAACCTAGGAACACTTGGATATCTCTGAACGACTTAGGAACTGGCTATTCCTAAATGGCTTGTACCCTACTAGGGTCCATCGAAACGCCGTCGACTTCTACGCGATACCCAAGGAAGTCGACTTCGCTCTAGAAAAACTTACATTTTAACAATTTCGCATATAAACTATACTTCTCTAGTCTTTTTAAGACGAGTAGTATATATTTCTTATGCTCTTCTTCGTCTTGACTAAAGATTAGTATATTATCTATATAAGCAATGCAAATATGGTTAAGAAGGCCTCGAAGCGCCTCGTTAATATATACTTGAAAGGACGCAGGAACATTCGTAAGCCTAAAAGGCATCACCAAATACTCGAAGTGCCCGTATCGCGTACGAAACGCCATTTTCCAGCGATCTTCTTGCGCGACGCGAATCCTATAGTACGCATCCCTTAGATCTATTTTTGAGAAAATCTTCGCGCCACTTAGGCGGTCCAATATCTCAGGGATAAGAGGCAAAGGGTACCGATTCTTTTTCGTTACCTTATTAAGGCCGCGAAAGTCGGCGCAGAGTCGCAAACTACCATCATACTTTGGTACGAAGAGAATAGGGGCTCCAGTAGGGCTTTCGCTCAGCTAGATCCATCCTTTCCTCAGCGCATCATCAAGATATTCGCGTAATGCTCGCAACTCATTCGCACTGAGAGAGTAAATAGGGCCCCAAGGTACCCTTTCCCCCTTAAGGACGAGAATAGTATACCTCGTCTTAGTATCCGTACCAAACAGATCCTCGCTCGGCTCTCCAAACACCCGCTCATACTTACGAAATCTCGGGTCGAGCTCGACCTCCTCGAGATTCGCAAGTATCTCGCCTCCGACTCCTAAAAGGTCGTCCTTCACCGGTCGAACTAAAATGACCCCAAGATTCTTCGGCTCTATATCCGCGAGAAGTTCTTTTAGGGGCACCCTTACCACCGGCGACTCGCCGTCTTCTCGGAAGCGCCACGTACCCTTGTTCCAATCGATATCTAGGTTAGTTTCCTATAACCATGGGTAGCCTAGAATCGCTCCGTAAGTTTAAATATCCGTAGCGATATATTCAATCGCCTACTTCTTGCATACGTCTCGCTAGTCAATAATCGACGTCTCGAGCCTATGCCGCCCGTAGACTCGAATACTCTAGCCACCAACAGTACGAACTAAGACTCCCGAATCAAAGGGGTCCACTTTCATTTCCGCTATCAGCAGCTAAGAGATGAAGTTCGCTTGCGCTCCGCTGTCGAGAAGCGTACGCACTAACCGAATCCCCGTAGGGCCTTCGACCTCGATATCTAAGGTAAGAGACTTTTACGCACGTCTTTCGCTTTCGGATAGCTTGCTCACGTCTAACCCCAGCGCTACTACGGCACTCAGCAGGCTAGCGGTCAGTTTTTTGACTTGCCCTTCTCCTTTCCCTTTCCCTTTCCCGTGCTTCTAGTAGGCGTCTCGCCTGCAAAGAGCTCGGGTTTATCGGGATTGGGAGGAGAACGACAATCTCTACCCTTATAGCCTTTCTTGCCACAATTCCAGCAGTCCCCATCAAATATAGGACGCTTAACTCTCTTCTCCGTAAACTTAGTCTTCTTCGAAGGGGCGGGGAAGGAGGACTTAATTTTTTCTTGCGATCTAAATGCGAGTCGCCTACGCGACGGAGTGCTTAACGAAGACTCCAATTTATCTTGCTTTGGAGTTGCCCTTGATGTGGCGCTCGATTGCTTTTCGCGTGCGACTATCGTCTCTAGTCGTACCGCAGCAGCAAGGACTTAAGCCCTAGAAGTAATGGTCCTCAAATCTTGCCTAATAGCGCGGCGTAACGCAGGCGATAAAGCATGGAAAAGCGCCCAACCCTTACGCTCGTCTTCGGTAAGAGAGCCAACGTTATCCTCAAGTAGTTCGATACGATAAACTAAGTCTCGCACCGACTTGTCTCCTTGCTTAAGTGTCGTAAGCGTCTCTAGTGCTTCGCCCTTACGCACATCAGTATCTTCAATTGTGTTTTTGCACTAAGTGAGATATAGTGCCCACGTCAACGGCACAGGCTCCAGCAACTTTCGATCTCTTCTCCAATCATTGAGTGCACGATCCGCAAGATAGTTGGCCGCGATATATATGCGGTATACCCAATCGGGCTTAATATCTTGAGGAATTGCCTCGAAGATATTTTGCCAACTGCTATTATAACCCCGTAAATCTTTCATCGAAGCCCCGCTAAACGTCTTAGGCTTCGAGATTTTTAACATTCGCTGTAACTCCTCGCGATCTTGAGTATAAGGAGAGTCGCTGCGCTATCGCTTACGAGTCAAAAGCGTTGTGTCTAGAATCGGGAAAAACTGTTTTAGTTGGTTGCTAGCCTTCTCTTCTTTCAGATATTCTATATCTAATTGTACTCGTATAATTTTCACCTGCGCTGCGAGGTTATCTCGCTCAGCGAGGAGACGACGTAGCTGTTCCCCATGAGTGCTTATATCTTCCTCCTCGTTCTCGGACCGCAGCGGAGTCGCAGCCCCTCCGGGCTCGATCTCCTTAAAGGTATCCTCGTTCGAGATCTCTGGTTCAATCGTAGGACGAGTAGGGTCCAAGGGACCCGAGGGACCCGCCTCGGTAGGTATCAGTCGTAGAGCTGAACTCTCGGTGGCTCTAGTTCGTGGAACCATTATACGGATAGCCGGCGAGTATTATCCACTCCGACCGATTCTAAATTGATACTTAAAGAATATAAGGAACGCCTAATAAGAATAGGCAGAGTGCGATAATAAAGGGTTTCGTTAATCAGTATTAGATGATCCTGACCTTCGGTCTCTATAGGACTCTAAGTATAAGGAGAGTAAGCTCTCCTGATGCGAGTCGCATGCCTATATCTACCGAGTTGGATAGGTGGCCTAACGCTCGGCATTCCATCGAGTCTAAGTGCCGGGTCGCCTAGGACTCGCGTGCGGAAGGCCGTTGACTTGTCTGGAAGGCCTGGGTGTATTCCTGACAATATATTAAGGTTAGAAGGGTGATATTCGGTAGAATAAGAAGGTTTAGCAATGGTTATTAATTATATATTTCTCTAGGCCTATAGAGGCCGGGAGTATAGTACACCAATAAAAACGAAAAACGGCGGGAAAATAGTTACGAGAAGCGTGAAACTCGTACTTATATAGCCAAGGATAGTACGAGCTAATATTTGCTTAAAGAGCTCTAAAGACGCCGTTCCCCTAATCGGATTTATTTTATCTCGCTTCGTTATCCCTTACGAATGTAAGTAGTATAGTATCTATCGAGGATTATAAGACACGATATTAGTCGCTAGACATAGACTAAGCTAAGGGGCGTTATCTCTAAAATGCTCTTACTATTTATATGATTTTCATTCTATTTCTAATCTTAGTAATTTAAAATTTTACTCGTCTACTATAGGTTAAACTCTCTTTCTCCTTGGTAGGAATAACCCTACTAATGGGGAATGTTGTAGAGATATTTTAATAGGCTCTTTAGCGCGTCTTTTAACAATTCGACTGCTCTTTGGGTGGTTCGTAACTGGTACTAGCGCTCGCGAGGATACGCCCCGCGGAGAGATGTATAGTTGATGGGTCCGTGGCGCTTACGGTATAGTATAAATTCCCTATAACTTATTGCGGCACTAAGGATGTATCCTCTAATACCACTAAGACGAAGATCTCTAGGAGCTACTGTCTACGCATTAATCCGAACCTTTATCGTTTGTATAGAGAGTTATATTGCCTTGAGATGGCTACCTTTATATACTCTTAGTTATTGTGTAGGACGCTAACTTGATAGCTATTCCTAGTATAATTAAGCTGAAGCCGACGAATTTTCGGTGGCGGTGATATCCCGGGACCTAAGATATATTTTAAATAAAGGTGCTAAGCCCCTTAGTAGTATAGACGTTCTTAGACTTAGTAGCCTTAGCTTAGGGTAAATATATTAGTCGCCTAATGCAGTAACTACGGTTTCCGGAAGCGCTTAGTTTCGAATGGCCTCCCGAAAGAGTCGACGACTCGATAAGGCTATACGCGCGCGGCCTTTCCTAGGAGCCAAAAATGATACACTCGATACTTAGTTACGCTAGACCCGGCCCTCGTTAGGCTGTCGGGACTATTATAAGAAATACTATGGTCGTTGGGGACTTCGATTGCTATTGCTCTTACCTAGACTCTACGATTCCCCGAATTCACTACTTTAACGCGATAGACTATAAATAAAAGAGTATATTAGTTATCACTAAGAACTATTGTCGAGGATACCCTAGACGATATAGTAGGTTTAAAGTAAGAATACCCTTCTCTATGGAGGTTCCGACGCGATTTCGAAAATGTAGATCTACGCGAGATTATAGATATTCACTATAAACCTCGTGTTTAGATATAACACTAGCGAGACCGTACGCCCCTAGCTATCCTCCCTCTTAATATTAAGTACCTACGCTAGGTATGCGAGCTATATTCGAGATATAAATCAACTTTTTAGGATAACCATTATAATCCTAAAAGGAGTCTTAAGCACTACTACTCCCTCCTTCTAACTCTTTTCGAAACGTATCGTTCCCAATGGCTAATGGTTTAACTAATAGTATTCGAGGATTTCTAAGTTAGTGTAAATAGTCTTTTAGGGTTAGCGACTATAGAGGTTACAATGCCTACACAACAATAAATGAAGTCTAGGTACGTATCCCCGCGGCGATTAAAGAAGCGTACTAAAGTCTAACTACTAACTAAAAGCATTAAGCTAATATCTATAAGCCGTATAATACCGTACCCAATGGCTATCGTCGGCAACTATCTCGTAATCCTATAACTATGCTCGTACGCGGGTTAATCTTGACTTTAACGTATTTCTGGCGCTAAATGCTCGCTTCCAACTTACTAAGAGAGTATATAGTGTTGGTGGACGATAGCTTTAGACTAGAAGGTGTAGGTTTACCCATTAAAAATAGCGTCTAGGATAAAAAGGTCGTCCGGTCTTTTATTTTAGCGGAGGAGATAAGATTATCACTCTCTTCTACGATTATTTTCTTATTTTCCTAGCTCCTTCTTATAGGTTCCCTATTACTTTTTTATTAAACTACCGAGCTTTTAGCTTTTTACGAGATAGAATTTTATTCTATTATCTCTACTATAGAAGCTAGCGATAGCGATATTTTATAGGTAACTATATCAGCCTACTTTATATCGAGGTATCTAAAGAGAATCTCTATAGAATATTACTTAAAGCTATTAGTATATTATATCTACTTCGTCTATAGTGAATATAGCGATTAACCCCTTTATAAGAAGAGTTTTTAACGTTTTAAATTAATTGCGCCTATAGGAGATATTACGGTTAAGCTTTAGATACGAATCGAGTCGATCTTATTTACGAAGCTCGTAATTATTTGGTGAGGCTATTTATCTATATAAACTTGATTTGGTGTCGCCGCTTATAGTAAGTAGAGATAACTAGCGCCTCTTAAATATTAGATACGTTTACGCGGTTAAAGATATATTGTAGTGGAATTAAGCACTAGAATCGATATTCTTAGACGCTAGCGAGGACACAAGAGATTTCTAGGAATGGCTATACTATAGACTTTATATAAAGATTTACGTCTAAAATATACTAGTTTACTTTAGGGTGTTATAATGCCTTACGAGCTTATTTTTGTTTGTTTGGCCCGCTAGAGGTTTGCCTTAATTAAGATATATATAATTATTCCTACTCGAGCTATTTCTACCGCGAGGCACTAGCTTTAGATATCGATGGGACATTCTAATAATATCTTTCCAGTATTCGAGGGCTTAGTAGTAAGGGTTAAAGGGTCGGTAGTGTACTAGTCTCTTTTTGTTGATGGTAAGGTCGTCTTTAGTGATTGATTATTCTTTCTTTTCCTAGATGTATTGGCACTACTATTTCCTAGTCTTAGAGCTAGGGTTCTTACTAACGGTGGTAAGGTAAGGTAGACTTCGAAGATATTTGATAAAGGCGCGGTTATTTAGTTTATATACGTAAAATACTATTACGTATATTATTCCTAAAGTATAATTGCTGGAAAGATTGATGGTTAGAGAGAAATCTTAGAATCTAGGGCTTAACTAAGACTTACTTTTGTCTTAGACTTAAGATACTATAATAATTCTAGTTTAGCAATGTAGAGTCTTTAAGCTATAGTATACGTTTTAGTGATAAAAGGCTTACTATAGATATAAAGTACCTAGAAAGTTCGCTAGCTATTTTGAGTCTCGGTTTGTATCTTCTACCGTTTTAAATTGGACTGCGCGCCGAAGGGAGCCAAGCTATAAAGAACTAGTTAAACGTTCACCTCCTAAGTGAAATCCTTGTAAGAAAATTACCGTAGTGGTATCGAAGGTTTCGAGGCTAGTCCTCTAGCTAGCCCACTCGCTAAAGATTGCGCCTTAGCTAGCTGTATAGTTGATCCTCTAGACGTTATAGAGAGCTCCGGACGTTCTATATCCCTTAGGAGTATAAGGGAATATCGAGATAAAATCGAAGGTAAATGCTTTTTAGTTGATACTATGATCTGTTCGTATATCTTAGGACTTCTTATAGTTTATCTATTCCTATTATCGGAGACTATACCTTTTCGTCTCTTTGTACTAAGTCCTCTAGTAAACGTAGGTTACTAAACTTATAATGAAAACTATAGAGTATCGATAAAAGGCCCAGTATAAGTAAACACTGTCTTATTTTTAGCTTAAGATTACGCTCTTTCTTACTAGTCGCCCTCGTTATCCGTACTTCTTAGGTAGGGGATAGTCTTAGAACTAGGTTGAATCGATTCGGATAATAGAGGGTAGTGTTTATTTAGTGTATAGGTTCTCGATATAAAGCTCTTTGGCGTGGTAGGTAGTGTAATCCTTTAAGTATATCTAGCTTCGAGATATAGCCGAATTATTTATAAGAGGACTAGGAGTAAGTTAATCGACGAGCTACTATTTAGGAGCGGTCGACACAAGTTTCCGTAAACTAGATTAATTATTAGTCGAGAGATAAAACGATTGAAGCCGACAACTATACAATATTATTTAGAATATAGCTAAGGGGACCGAGTGACTACGATAAAGTGCTAGTCTTGCGTAGCTTATACCTACTGAAGTCCGCCAGTAGATACAATACTTACCTATTAGCCAAATATTTTAGAATATTATTAGTTTCGTTGGGAGGTGTAGATATAGCTAAATCACTACCACTTAGGCTCGCCAACGAAACAGTAAATTAAAGATAACTTTTAAGAGTAAGAATTTATAGGGATAAGTTAAGCGCTTTAGGGGCTATCTAGTACTAGGGCTATAGAGTTTAGCTGGCGGCGCCAGAGAGTAAATCTCTTATAACCGAATGCGCCTTCTACTTAAGTACTATAGTGTATACGAGCGTATAGAGAAGCTAGCGAGACGTTTAGGTAGACTTCTATCTAGGTATATACCCTTCGCATTACATTTTCATTTCTATAAAATTTAGATACCTAACTCTAATTATAGTAGGGTATATATATATTATAGCCTATTCGGATAACTAGTAGCCTTTAACCGTTTAGGAACTATACGGTAACCTAGATATATACACAATCACTTAGTACTCGGTTGAAATCTAGGTATTCATTATTAATACCCTCTTAAATTGATATAGAAGCTATATATCGTAAATCGTCGTGAAA